TATTTTATAACACTTTTCTATTGCCCAGAATCCTTAGCGCGAGTGAAGCAGTAAACCCAAACATTTAACTTGCCGTTAGCTCACGTTACTTGAAGCTGCTAGCTTAAAACTGCCTGTTTCGCTGTTTTTATGATCCAATTCTGTCACCGGACGCCGCTAAATATTCCCGACAGTTACCTTAATGTTAGACGACAAGATGACAAAGAGCTCCACAGTCGGTAGAATCCGTTAAATGTCCGTTAAGCGTCCGTCAACCGTCCATTTCCTCGGTGCGCTGGTGTTGTTTTGTCGTCTTTGGGAAGGAGGTGGCGATGAAGGAGGAGGTCCCACTCTGACATGTTTTCAGGATCCGGTTCAAGTAACCTACGGACCCGTAACGTGACGCGAGCGAAGAGTCGAGAGACTCGACTTTCTAAGTATAGACGATCTTTGATGAAATACGGTGTCTCTCGAGGGTCAAATACCAAACCATTTTATAATGAAGGAAAAGACACACAGGTAAAATCTGTGAAAAGTGACAAGTCACAAAGTCCTACAATATCAAATAATTTTATTTAAGTGATCAATAATACAATAAAATGTGTATAGTCGGTGAAATGTTTATAAGGTTTATTTTGTTTAAATGTTTATTTTCACAATCAACTGTTTTTTGCAATATATGAACGATTCATTTACGACTCCATGGTTTTCATAATAATTCTTAATTACCTTGATTCTTTGCAATATTTGTCGCTTCTCTTTATAAGAGAGCAGAATTTCTGGTACGTTTGATCATTATAATGCACATGTTACATCCTGCATCATGATGCTTAAATGAATCAAATACATTCATTACAAAAAAATCTATTTAATTTATTAATGGACCCGTCTCTCTCAGAAAGACGAGTACATCCCAAGCCTCCTGGCGGCTTCCGAGATCCTTGGGGTCTTCCTGTTTGGGAAGGGGTGGTGGTTCTGGTTCTGATGGACCGCATTGGAGGAGCCAACGCCCCCTAGACTCAACTGCCTGGTTAACCTCAGGGCCGGGGCCTTGCAGCAGGTCTGCAGCACTGAGGCGTCGTCCTTCAGGTCTTCGAGCAGGCTGCTGGTGGGGGCGGAGCTTTCATCAGAGCAGGGGGGGGGACCCCCTCTGGATCCACTGCTCTGATCTGGTTCTGGTTTGGACCCGTCAGCGTTGACGCCGTCCGTGGTGCTGCAGGACTCTGATGAAGACGAGGAGCGTCTATAACAACAGTGGATGATAATCAATGAGGATGATCTTTAAACAGACATTAAAGGCACAGATTCAATCAAATAGAATTAAACCAAGTTCATTTTCACGTCACACGATTAAACATAAATTCACCCATTTCCTTCTAATAACAAAAATAAATGAATGTATAATTTCTATTTATTTTCATTGATATGTTGGTATTGTTTCTAATGAAATCTCGCTAACCGGAAGGAACTGCGAGTCGTTTCAGGGGACGACTCGCACCGGCCAGGGTCCAGGCGCCACGGGTCTCTGCAGGTCGTTGGGTCGGGGTCAAAGGTCACCGGTGGCATACCCCCGAGCGCTTCCCATGGCAACGCCAAAACCTGAGTGACGGCTTCTCGACGCCTCTCTCTCGACTTGTAACAAGAAACAAGGGCAACCTTGTCGTGAACTTCTTTATCACATATTTGATTTTGTCATCCAGTTATTTTGACGAATTCATAAACGTGGATTCAAAGTGCCTTTTATCTTATGAGGAAGAGCTTGAACGACGTTCAATCAGAGAGTAAAAGCATGCGATGAATCGCCTCAGTTGTAAATCATGTTTTAGAGGTTGTCATGGTGACGTGTGGCAGCATAGTGCTGTGCCCTAATAACTAAACCATTTAAAGGCCTCACAGACTCTCACACTCAACCACAGACCAGGTGACCTCAGTGAGTCCTGAGGAGTCAGGGGTCAGGGGTCTGGTAGGAGATAGGGCTTTGCACTGCACAATCACATGTGCTTTTATTTTGAAACCCCCACCGGGATGTCAGTCAGCTGGACTTGCAGAGAACAGTTTGCTCTCCAGCAGCGTCTCTGACGCGGTGACGTGTCTCTTGTCCGCTCACCTGTCCTCAGCAGCACGTGTCTCTGCTCCTCTCTGCTGCACCTGTACTGCTCTCTGAGCAGAGACACGTCCATGCTCCTCCTGCTCTGCTCCTGCTCCTCCTGCTCCTCCTCGCGCCCCACCAAGCGCTCCTTCCTCCTGGTCCCTGCGTGTGACACGCAAGCAGGCGACCTTTGACCCGCACACGTCTCCACAGCAACGTCACGACAAAGAACCTTTATTTTACATTAGTGATTCATGTTGAAGCTACTTAAAGCTTTTAAATAAATGTTTAGTGGTAATACAACAAAAGTGACTATTTATGTCGGGGGAAGTTATTGTTAATCTGCAGCACAGTAAAATCTATCTATGTGTGTGTGTGTGTGTGTGTGTTTTCGTACCCTCAAGCCCCCCACTCGGACTCACGCAGCAGCAGCAGGACATCCTGTTGAATGTAGCAGGAACACACACACCCGTAGGTCTTTTATTATATTTAAATCCTGAAAAAGAATCCAATAAAAACCTTCAGCACAAAAGTTATACGATCAGTTCTGCCGATCCAAGTAAGAAACATGTTACCTGTTCAGGTAGGAAGCTGGACTGGTAAAGTTCTCCCACCCACACACACACAAACACATGTGCTCTGACTTTGATTAGTGTGTAAATATTACCTTCTATTTGTTGACCTTCACGGTCACAAGAACAAACGCTGGGTTCACACACCAGTGCACACCACTACGCATCAGTACACACCATTATACACCAGTATGCACCAATACACAGTACACCATTATCAGAATCACAAGCCATTCATTGCCACATGTTACACATAGAGGAACTTGTGAATTGATGATTAGTGCGATAGAATAATAAAATAAAATAAAATAACAGTAAAAACAAGTTAAAACAATATGAACAGATACGATAAGTATGATAAGATATTATACGCCAGTACCCACCAGTACTCGGAAAATAATTGCAATATATATACACATCAAAAGTATCAGATACTACAAAAGAGGATAATGCAACAGAACATACTTGTGAATACTTATACTTAAATACTTTTATACCAATGTATATTAGTGCTACTGTCTCTTTAAATACGGAGCCCTTGCCCCTCACTGAATGCGCGCGCACCCACGTCTGTGTGCGCGCGTGTCGTACGATGGCTGCCGCTCGTGACGCTCCTCTCTACCTGGGCTTTGACTTCAGCACTCAACAGGTAAACTCACCTGATTGTTTATTTCCATTCTCTCACCTGCTGACGTGCGTGCGCAGATGCGGAAGTGGTGCATTGTGGGTGTCCGATGCTGCATGTCAGGATAGTTTAAGCTCACCTGAGGTACTTTGTACCAACTTCTACCTTCCGTACTGCGTGTACTTCTGCCTCATTTCAACCAGAATACGCAGTACGCGCAGGTAGTTATACAACGAACTAAACGCACTTCTGTCTTTGTGAAGTACTTTATTGCGCATTTACATTTTGTAGTACTTCTGCTCCTTTTTATATGTATCTGAACTCTTACTTACATAATACATATCGTCCTGTGTACTTGTACCTCTGATACTACATGAAGCTGATCATCCTGTGTATTTGTACCTCTGGTACTATATAAAGCTGATCATCCTGTGTACTTGTACCTCCGGTACTACATGAACCTGATCATCCTGTGTACTTGTACCTCCGGTACTACATGAACCTGATCATCCTGTGTACTTGTACCTCCGGTACTACATGAACCTGATCATCCTGTGTACTTGTACCTCCGGTACCACATGAACCTGATCATCCTGTGTACTTGTACCTCCGGTACTACATGAACCTGATCATCCTGTGTACTTGTACCTCCGGTACTACATGAAGCTGATCATCCTGTGTACTTGTACCTCCCGTATGAAGCTGAAGGTGGTCATCCTGTGTACTTGTACCTCTGGTACTACATGAAGCTGATCATCCTGTGTACTTGTACCTCCGGTACTACATGAAGCTGATCATCCTGTGTACTTGTACCTCCCGTATGAAACTGAAGGTGGTCATCCTATGTACTTGTACCTCCGGTACTACATGAACCTGATCATCCTGTGTACTTGTACCTCCGGTACTACATGAAGCTGATCATCCTGTGTACTTGTACCTCCCGTATGAAGCTGAAGGTGGTCATCCTGTGTACTTGTACCTCTGGTACTACATGAAGCTGATCATCCTGTGTACTTGTACCTCCCGTATGAAGCTGAAGGTGGTGGCCATTGATGAAAACCTCAACGTGGTTCACCAGAACAATGTGCAGTTTGACTCCGAGCTACCTGAGTACAGGTACAAAAACATCTCATGTGCAGTACTAGTACTAGATGTAGTACCCCCTTTACCGCTTTCTGAGAAGCTTGTGAGAGTTTATGTTTGTCCCCTCAGGACGAATGGAGGAGTTCATATTCATGCTGACGGACTGACCGTCACCTCACCTGTGCTGATGTGGGTCAAGGTAAAATAGCTCCTCATTTAAGAATGAACTCACTGACCTGGGACCTGCTGTGCGTTGCTTGGTCCCGGTGCTGCCGTGTGATTGGCCCTCTGTATCTGTCATCAGGCTCTGGACCTGCTATTGGACAAGATGAAGGGGGCGGGCTTTGCTTTCTCGCGTGTCAGAGCGTTGTCGGGCAGCGGCCAGGTGAGTTCCTCCCTAAGGCTCGATAGAAGGTGGCCCTAATGGGTGTTAGTCACCTGCGAGACACACTAAATGGAACGTGGCCGCCGTCCTTCTCTTCTTCTCTCTCAGCAACACGGCAGTGTGTTCTGGAGAAGAGGAGCGTCTGAGACTCTGCAGAACCTGGACCCGGACCAAGACCTGCACCAACTGCTGCAGGTGAGTGGCTCCACAGGTGTGTGTTGGTGTTATGTGGGCGGGGCATTGATGCTGATTGGACTCCGACAGGTGAGCTTCTCCGTGTGCCAGAGTCCTGTGTGGATGGACTCCAGCAGCACCCGGCAGTGTGAAGACCTCCAGGCAGCAGCTGGGGGCGCTATGAGGCTAGCAGAGCTCACAGGGTCCAGAGCATACGAGGTACACCTGTCTGTGTGTGTGTGTGTGTGTGTGTGTGTGTGTGTGTGTGACCACCTGTGTGTGTGTGTGTGTGTGTGTGCGTGACCACCTATCTGTGTGTGGGTGTGTGTGTGTGACCACCTGTCTGTGTGTGTGTGGGTGTGTGTGTGTGACCACCTGTCTGTGTGTGTGTGTGTGTGTGTGTGTGTGTGTGTGTGTGCGTGTGTGTGTGTGTGACCACCTATCTGTGTGTGTGTGTGTGTGCGTGTGTGTGTGTGTGTGTGTGTGTTTGTCCAGCGCTTTACAGGAAACCAGATCTCCAAAGTGAGACAGACCCGACCAGAAGACTTCCTCAACCCCGAGGTCAGTCTGAACCCAGCAGAACCAGACTGAAAGTCCCCAGTAGTGTTATTACCGTGTGTGTGTGTGTGTGTGTGTGTGCGTGTGCAGAGAATCTCATTGGTCAGCAGCTTTGCAGCCTCTCTCTTCCTCGGTGGTTACGCCGCCATCGACTTCAGTGACGGTAAAGTTCTAAGTTCTCACCCATCACATTCATCAATGAGTCCATTGATCCGCCCTCACTGATGGTTCCCTTAAAGTACAGAACGAGTCAGCAGGGCAGACTAAAGGCCATCGGGTGGCCGACTGATGAAGGCAGTAGTGTCCCACTAAGGGGCCGCAGGGTTCTGTGAGGGTCTTCAGGGTCCGCCCTGTCCCTCCTTTCTCTCACATCAGCTGATCTTCCTCAGTGAACGGCGCTCTTCAAGAAGGCGATGTGACTGAAAGCTCTGGAGATTTTCCTCACAAAGATCTGCTATTTTATATATTATATTATATTCTTATTATATTTGATTTTGATTCTCTTGATTTTGTTGTCTGCTGTTACGCACCAACCGCCAAGTCAAATTCCTTGTATGTCTGACATATTCTGGTAATAAATGTTTCCTGATTCATTACATCACATGGCTTTTATCCAAAGCAACTTACAATACGTGCATTTCAACCATAAAGATACAAACTCAGAAGAACAAGAAAAGTACAATTTCATCAAATACGCCAACTTGCTATAGATAGATAACACCTCCTGATTAAATCCGTTTTTTCTAGTTGTTCTTAAGAAAAGGGGTGAGAGACTGTGAGCTCGAAGGTCAAGTTGTGTTAGTGAGTAAATAATCTGCCTCTCCACCTCGGACTCCCTGACTTCAGGCTCAGGGATGAACCTGTTGGACATCAGGAGCAAAGACTGGTCTGAGATCTGCCTGGACGCCACCGCACCTCAACTGGGCCGACTCCTGGGGGCTCCGGTGCCCTCCACCTCCGTACTGGTGAGGCTGTTTTTTCTTTGGTGTGTGTTTGTGTGTGTTTACTGCTCAGATGTCGTCACTCCCTTGTGTCCCCTCAGGGTCCTGTATCCTCCTACTTTGTGCAGCGGTACGGTTTCTCTGAGAGCTGCAGGGTAGTGGCCTTCACAGGAGACAACCCAGGTGAGACCAGATCTCCAGCTCACCGCAGCAGGTCTGAGGGATTTTGCATAAAACCAGGATAAGCAAAGAAATGACAAATAGGCACTGAAAGACTACAAGGAGAGAACAAAAGACACTAAACGACTGCAAGGAGACACTAAACGACTGCAAGGAGACACTAAACGACTGCAAAGAGACACTAAACGACTGCAAGGAGACACTAAACGACTGCAAGGAGACACTAAACGACTGCAAGGAGACACTTAACGACTGCAAGGAGACACTTAACGACTGCAAAGAGACACTTAACGACTGCAAGGAGACACTTAACGACAGCAAAGAGACACTTAACGACTGCAAGGAGACACTTAACGACAGCAAAGAGACACTTAACGACTGCAAAGAGACACTTAACGACTGCAAAGTGACTGACACTTCTGTAAACAGCTCTGAATGCTGTTTACATTTTAAATATGTATATCATATTTAAGTGGATGTAGTTATCGTTGTGTCATGCAGTTCTGATTTTATTGCTCTCTTGTCAAAAGTCGTACAGCAACGACGTGTTCAAACCACTGACGTGACTTCTTTCTCCTCAGCCTCTCTGGCGGGAATGAGGCTCCAGCAGGGCGACGTCGCCGTGAGTCCGAGTGAGACCAGTCCGTCCCCTAATCCCCTAGTGGGTGTCACACTGTGTGTGTGTGTGTGTGTGTCCAGGTCAGCCTGGGGACCAGTGACACGGTGTTCCTGTGGATCCAGCAGCCCTCCCCGGCTCTGGAGGGCCACGTCTTCTGCAACCCGCTGGACTGGCGGGCCTTTATGGCGCTGCTGTGGTACGTCGCTTAGCTGAGCACACAGACTGGAAACTGGGGAATAAACTGTGTGTGTGTGTGTGTTTGTGTGTGTGGGGACTCCACAGCTTTAAGAATGGATCCCTGACGAGAGAACGAATCAGGAACGAAAGCACTGGAGGATCATGGGAACTTTTTTCTCTTGCCCTGAGAGACACGCCTCTGGGGAACAACGGACACATGGGTAAAGCTTCCTTCCTTGTGTCTCACCTCCTTTCTCCCCCAAAGTCACTTCCTTCTCTATCTCCTTTTACTCCTTTGCTGTCTACATGTGTATCCTCGCTCTCTGACCTCATCCTCTTTTGTTCCTTCACCTTTATTCCCTATTCCTACCACCCATTTCCTTTTATTACTTATTATTATTACTCCTTTCTGCTTTATTTCCTTTTCCTTCCATCTTCCGTTTTTCTTCTTTGCTTTGTTTCCTTTCGTCCTAATTTCATTACCTCCTTGCTTCCTTTCTTTCCTTTCCCTCTTCTTCCTGTCTCCGGCCCTCTGACCTCTTGTTTGGTGTGTTTCCAGGCTTTTATTTTGACAGCATGGAAATCACCCCCCCGGCAGTCGGAGTTCACCTCTTTGACCCAGACGACAACAAGGTGAGTTCAGACCGAGCTGTGTTACAGGAAAACCTTCGTTCACCTGAACTCTCCTGTCTCCCTTCCCATAGGTGTCCTCCCTGAGTCCTCAGGTGGAGGTCCGGGCTCTGGTGGAGGGTCAGTTTCTGTCCCGGAGGCTCCACGCAGAGCGGCTGGGATACTCCATCAGTAAGAGCTTCTCCTCCTGGTTCCTTCTGTCCAGCATATCGGCTGCTTCTCATCGGGCTTCATCTTGTAAAAATAACACACATCTTGTCATCGGTTGTGGTTTTTCTTCTAAATGTTTATCTTCATCAGGAATGAGGAACATTTATCACCAAAATATGTCAGACATACAAGGAATTTGACTTGGCAGTTGGTGCGTGACACCAGTAAGAAAATGGCATCTTCAGAGACCTGGAAGCGAACAAGTCCTGCAGGGACGGCAGGTTGCAGCCGATCAGCCTCTCTGCAGAGCGGAGGACACGCTGCAGCCTGCCCTTGTCCTTGGCTGTGGCTGCAGCGTACCAGACGCTGATGGAGGAGCAGAGGATGGACTCCATGATGGCCGTGTAGAAGTGGACCATCATCGTCTTTGGCAGGTTGAACTTCTTCAGCTGCCTCAGGAAGAACAACCTCTGCTGAGCTTCTTGGTGATGGAGCTGATGTTCAGCTCCCACTCGAGGTCCTGGGTGATGATGGAGCCCAGGAAACGGAAGGAGTCCACAATAGTGACGGGGGAGTCACACAGGGTGATGGGGGAGGGTGGGGCTCTGTTCCTCCTGAAATCCACAACCATCTCCACTGTCTTTAGAGCGTTGAGCTCCAGGTTGTTCTGGCTGCACCACGACACCAGATGGTCAGACTCCCACCTGTAGGCGGACTCGTCCCCACCAGAGATTAGTCCAATGAGGGTGGTGTCATCCGCAAACTTCAGGAGTTTGACGGACTGGTGGCTGGAGGTGCAGCTGTTGGTGTACAGGGAGAAGAGCAGAGGGGAAAGAACGCAGCCTTGGGGGGAACCGGTGCTGATGGTCCGAGAGGCTGAGACATGTTTCCCCAGCTTCACGTGCTGCTTCCTGTCAGACAGGAAGTCTGTGATCCACTTGTTGGCTCTGTAGGCGAACTGCAGGGTGTCCAGGAGGGGGTCAGTAAGGGTCTTTGGGTGGGTCAGGACTAGCCGTTGAAAAGACTTCATGACTACAGAGGTCAGGGCGACGGGCCTGTAGTCATTGAGTCCTGTGATCCTGGGCTTCTTGGGGACAGGGATGATGGTGGAGGTCTCATTTAGGTTTTAATAAAACTAAAACTCTTCTTTCTTGTTTTCAGCTCCTGGAACCAGAGTTTTGGCAACCGGAGGAGCTTCATCGAATAAAGACATTCTGCAGGTCGTTTCTCTACTATTCTTATTTTTGTTAGTATTACTATTCTTTCGACAATCGAGCATGGCGAGCATTCGACAATGACGCGACCAGACACAAGAGACACACATTAAACACACTGGCGAGCTGCAGGTGATTGTTTCCACCGGTGTCCAATCACAGGGGACGACGGGACAAGGCAGGAAGTGAAGTAACCCAGGAGGCATGAAACTACAAAATAAAACAAGACGTGAACCCATACCAAAGACAAAGCAGGATTTAAAGAAAACTACTCTCATTCATATTTGTTTCTGCTTGTGAAACATTAATAACTGAAGTAAATAAGTAATGCTTGTTAGATTCAAGCCTCTTACTGCAGACGTTGCATATGATATTATATTTATACACACACATTTATTTCAAAGGAAGAGCAAGAACAACGTCCAATCACATTGCTGAATGTTCTGTCCCTCAGGTTCTATCGGATGTGTTTAACGCTCCAGTTTACACCCTCGATGTGTCCAACTCTGCTTGTCTGGGATCAGCCTACCGAGCCCTCCACGGTACGCTAGTACGACTCAATTCATTAACCTCAAAAGGCTTTACAGTCTGTACACATGTGACATCCTCCGACCCAGAACCGTCACATTGGCATGAAAAACCCTTTGATGGGGAAAAAGGAAACCAGTGAGCGTCAGAGGAGGAACCTGTGGGATGGAGGTCATGTGTACAGAGACGTTCAACACGTTCAATGCATGTGACAGAAACGATTCAAATACTGCAAGTAGTAAGCTGGACGTACCACAGGACCACTGCAGGGACAAACTCCACCAGATAGAACCTCCATCAGATAGAACCTCCACCAGATAGAACCTCCACCAGATAGAACCACGTCAGATAGAACCTCCACCAGATAGAACCTCCACCAGATAGAACCTCCATCAGATAAAACCTCCATCAGATAAAACCACGTCAGATAGAACCTCCACCAGATAGAACCTCGTCAGATAGAACCTCCCTCAGATAGAACCACATCATATAGAACCTCCACCAGATAGAACCTCGTCAGATAGAACCTCCACCAGATAGAACCACGTCAGATAGAACCTCCACCAGATAGAACCTCCATCAGATAAAACCACGTCAGATAGAACCTCCATCAGATAGAACCTCCACCAGATAGAACCACCGTCAGATAGAACCACCGTCAGATAGAACCTCCGTCAGATAGAACCTCCGTCAGATAGAACCACCGTCAGATAGAACCACCGTCAGATTGAACCTCCGTCAGATTGAACCACCGTGGTCCAGGCTAACCTGAGACCACTAGAAGCTTTATCTTAAAAGAGGAATCTGCCCCTGGACTGAAAGTGGAAGCTGGTTCCACTAAAGAGGAGCTTGATAACTGAAGACTCCATCCTACTTTTTAAGACTCAACAAGTACTTGCACTACTAGTATTATTATTAAAAGTATTGCTACTAATGCAGCCTGATTGACCCCTGATGGTCCATGTGTGTTTTCAGGCACGATGTCACAATCTGTTGCGTCCTTCTTCGATGTTGTGAAGAAAGCTCCCGAAGCACAACTGGTGGTGACACCACATCCTGCAGCACAGCAGGTACACACACACACACACACACACACACATGGACATGCACAGCTCCTCCCATAGAGGGGGAATAGCTTCTCTTAAATAATTATATATAATAATGCTGGTGACTGAACTGAAGCCATATTCTCACTAAAAGACGCAGGTGCAGTAGAGTCGAATACCACTCTAGTGTGTACCTTAGTACTACTACTGGTACTGAGATACTTTCCCACAATTACCGTTTTTTATTTACCAAAGCAACGTTGTCACTCTCATTTCACGCACACGCACACGCAGTGAGTGAGTAAATATCCCCTGTGCACAGCAGACATTCATCACCTGATGAAGCTTCGTTATTTGTGTTCCAGGTGTACGACCAGATGCTGCAGCGCTACGCCCGATTGGAGGAGAGAGTACACGTGCGAGGAAGCCCGCCCCTGAGCCTCACCGTCCAATCGCCTGAG